ACGTTTGAATATAGAGCTGAAAATTGAAATTAAATAATTAAATTTAAAATTTTAGTTTTCATGAAGAAAAAAGCGTGAAATTTAGTAAAATAATATGTGTCCATATTACAAGAGAACACTAAGGATTTTAGCTGTAAAAGGTCTCTTTTGAGCATTGCCTACGTGATCTAAATCGAATATTCCTGAAAGGAAACGACGTTATGTACATGTCTGAAAGGTGCAACTAAGATTGAATGTGAAGTGTACTCAAAGCGTATAGCAGTCATGAAATTTTTTGATAACAATTAAAAGTACATGTTTGTGGTGTATTTAACTTAGTTAAATTTAACTACAGTTAAACAGCTTAAGGCATACTCTCCGATTACTACTTAAAACTAGAGGGACTTATTTTTAAATTCTTCCAAAAATTTCTCTGTTTCCCATACATGAACTAAAAGCAAATATATTTTAAATTCAAGTCACACCAAAAAGATTAATTTATTTGCAAATTGAACAATTTTCTTCCTGGTTTTACATGCACTAAAACTACAAATGAAAGTTCCCCATTAGTCAAGGTCCACTTTGACGCCAAACCTTTTGTAAAAGCTGTGTGTGCTAAATGTGCTAATTCCACCTAAAGACCCTCCATATGTACAGTGTGCATTTATTTACTTGCCTATTTAGGCATATTACGAAGAATATCGCAACGTAGAGCCAGCCCCTTGGGCATGCAATTGTACAACGGAATGAGTCATCGGACGGGCCAAAAGCAAGCGTTTCCCTTACATATATTCAATATTTCATTTGAGCTTTTTGTTGTTGTGTGCTGTGTTGTGTTTATGAAAGGCCAACGGGCAAGAAATTGAACAAAACCCGAAACGAAACCAAAATAAACAGAGGATCGGGCGGGGAGCTGTGTGTAAAAGATGATCGGTACAATGCGTGGCCATGCGGGCCGGGCTAAGAGGGTGGATCGTTGGCCATTGGAGGCGATACGGAAAAGAGGGGCAAAATAAAGCAATTTATAACTGCATATTTCTGTGGCATATGGGGTGAGGCAGGCACGGTGGCACGGGGCACACATGAACTCGGTGGAACTTTTGCAATTACTCGTAAGATCAACGGCGGCTTGGTACGGGCCAAGAAAGCCAGATGGCCATAGTTTTCCCCCCACCCCTCAAGATTTCCGCAATGTTCTCTAGCTCTGCCGCTCTACTCTCGCTCTCTCTTTCCTTGTAGTTTTTTACCTATCTTATAAAATAATTTATGCTTTTCTAAGAACAGTCTCTCCTGGCCTGGGCTGGCCCGGCCTGGCCTGCCCTTCTATCGGTGCGTAGCCGAATGTGGTGCGGTGGTTGAGGTCTTCTTTTTGGTTGGGGTTTTTTAAGCATTTTATTTATAGAGGAGTCTGAAATGTGACGCATTTCGTTTAACGTTGGCATGTGAACTTATTTTCTTTTTCTTCATTTTTGTTTATCTCTCTCGGCTCGTTTTTTTATTCGAAGTCGAGGCGAAATGTGAATGACTTGTATGTTGGTACAAGTGACAATGTTTCAATTGATCAAAGCCCTGAGAAGAGTAGACTGTCTCTTATTCTATAGATCTGTGGTAGGTAGGAGCACACCTTATGTCACGGCAAAGAGAGTCTCTCTCGAGCTGTGTAGATTTTTGCAGATCTTATTAGGACGTTGACATGCGCCGACCGAGGGGCGCTGCTGCATGTCGAAGCGGTATGAAGCGATATGATCATAGGAAGTGCAGCAGAGAGAGAGAGAGGGAGGTTCTGCCGATCTTTGAAGGTGTAACACACCTGATATAGTGCCAAGAGTAGAGTCTCTCTCGTTCTATCAATGTACAAAAATATATAGCACACCTAAAATCAAGCCAAATGCCTTCCTCATTCTATCGATCTGCGAAGCTATAGCACACCTTTTATTTCATGCCAAAAAACTCTCTTATTCAACCGATTTACAAGCACAATTATATACCATGCCTGGCTCTAGCTTTTATTCATGTTTTTTCTTGCAGGCTCCAAAGTTCACCTCCAATGTGGGGGGGCTTAGTCGTTCCACCTCTTGATGGATGCGTTGAGCAAAGCCCAAAAGCAAACAACTTCCGATTTATAATTATCTGTGTGCCGCCCCGCAATATACAGGGTGTCTTGTCAGTCGATTGGTCACAGTAACTTTCCTATGGGTTAACATTGTAGTTGCCCCCTATCTTATCGGTGGGTGTAGGTATATTTTACAATTAATTTTTGTTGTGTTTGCAGAATCTACTAGCACATGTACTAAGCAAAAAAAAATATATTCCTTTTGCTCTTGTCCGGTATATCGCGCTGTTTAAGTACTCCATATATCTCTCTATCTCTGTATGAGCACCACATATAGACATGAAGGCATATTCCCTGAGCGTGATAAGCCAAGAGAGATAAATGATTGATGTCACGCTCCTCCTGCCCCCCTTTCTTCTTTTGTTTTCTTGGACAGCTGTCAAAGTTTTTGTTTACATGCCAAAACATCTAAATATGGTAGCATCTCATCTCATCTCATCTGCATGATTAATTAGAGTGATATTTCTTGCATATGGACGACAGCTACTTATGACACAGACACGCGTTCGCTTGTGTGCCAGCTGCGGGGGAAAGTGGCGCGAAGAAAGTGAAAACTATTTCCACAAAGGGAATGGCAGAGAATTGAATGCGTTCTAAAAGTGCTAAAGTGTTAGATGAAAACATTCAGCTGTTGTTGTCGTCGATGGGCTTCCGCTTTCCGCTTTCTGGATATGCCAAATGGAAATGTTTACGTAGCGGGTGCTAAATATGTGTACTAAATGTGTTTTATAAATCATCTAAAGATCAAAGTAATAAATGTGGGAAGGACTAGTGTTTCTAGTGTTTGATTTTGTCTAGAATTGTGAAAATAATTTAGTTAATGTTTTTTAGATGTGTACTAAATTAGTTGAGAAATGTTAAGGCAACTAATTTGGTGATCTAAAGGTGTCTAGACTTTAGGAGTGCTTTCTAATCTACTATATGTGCCTTATGAAACACTAGAATGCTCGTGTAATATTTTTTGAATGTATTTAGAGCTCTCAAACTCTGTGCCAGTTGGTTGTCCGATCTAAATCTAATCTGTTCTGTATATTCTATCCCCTAAGAGCTCTAAATCTTCGTGCTAAAAGATTTCCCTAACGATCTAAATGATTATTAAAACATGCTGTCTGCTAAAAATAGAAAATTTAATTTTGCATTACCTTTTAAGTAACTTTCAAAGTTTAAATCAAAGTTCCAGCTACCTGTAATCACACTTAAGTTCACCTCACCCACACATTTCTAGACAAATCCACACGACTCTACCGCCTTTGAATGAATGCACCTTTGCACCTGTGCAACGCCCCTTGGAGCCCGCCATGTGGGTGTCTTTAATTGCAGCCACCGTGCCCTGCCCTGCCCTGCCCTGCCCCGCCACTGCCCCTGCCACCAACCAAATGCTAATAAGCAATTCTGTAATTTCTGTAAAAGTACTCGGGCTGGGCTCGTATGCCTTGCACATGGCAAAAAATTATAAATATAAATCAAAAATAGCTACCCGAAACACCCCGCCAGCTGCTAGCTGCTAGCATGGCGGGCGAATCAACCGCATCGAGTCGGCAAAATTGCAACAACAACTCAACAAGTCTCAAATTGTTTTTGCGCAAATATTGCCTCCAGTTGCAGTTTATAATTTATAGATTTGGTACATTTGAGGCTGATTTTTCTGTGTGTATTATAAATGCTGATAACCCAGATTCCACATTGATTTCGAATCGCATTTCAATGTCATAAGGGTGGTGCCTGCGTCTGGAGTCTGGGAGCTTAAATTATGCCCCAAATGTAAACAGGGGGGCAACAACAAATATTTGCGCTAACGTCACTGGGGCATCCGTGTGTGTATCGCCGCCGCGTATTTATTTCACAATTCCGAGCTATGTAAACTTCAGGGGGATATTTATAAACAGATTGGAAACACAACACACACACACACACATTTCACAACACAATCCAAGCAGCAAAAGGCACAAAAGGCAGCGGGCAAAAAGAAACATTTCAATTTCAATTGAAATCCAATGCCCCAATCCAATGATATGCAATGGCCGGAGGCAGGGAAAGCGATTGCCTGTCCAAATGTTATTGCAATCGATTAAGTTGAGTATCCTTTGCATTAAAGTACAATTCAAGAATACAATTCTTGAGGCCAGCGCAGCACTTGCATTGATGGGAGATTAAGTAGAAATCATTAAGTGCAGAGAAAAATTAATTAGAACTTGAGGAAATCCATTTAGAAAGTGGTTTTAAATCTTAAATCTCTTTAAGATGATTTAATTAATGAGTAGTGACGTTTCAGATCATTAAATATCTGCAATTTTTGAGCAAAATAAAATGTTATTGGTAAAACTCCCAAAACTATTGGCATTTGCTTCAATGAGTGACTGATATATTAAGTACAACAAAAATGCATTTATATCTTTGGAAAACACTAAATACTTTCAAATTAGTTCATTAATGACCACAAATGTTTTAGAACGGCATGCAGGGGCCTAATTAGTGAATGTTCAAATTTTACAGGAGTTTAATTAGTCTAAATAAGATAATTAGGGGCATTTTAAATCGTTTAAAGCATTTACTATATGTTTAAAAGTATATGCAAACTTTCGAAATGTGTCTAAGTGATTTATTTAACTCCGATTTAAAGCTGTAGCTGTGCTAAAGAATTTATATTCAACGAAACCCTAAAATTTGGGTCTATTTGAAGCAATTTTTTAACACAAGATAACTCTGAAAAGTGGTTTAAAATATACCCAATATATCTATATCGAAATTCTATTACTCTAAGGGGCTTTTATTAACCCAGTTTTGTATTTTTTAACCTACTATTTCCCCCATTCATACATACAATATGACTCTGAATTCTTATCGCAAACAATTGAACTAACGTATTTTTTCCCACACCCTTTCTCTCTTCTCTCGGTTTTTCCATCAGATATCGTTTTCGCTTATCGAAAATAGAACAAAATTCTGTACTCGAATGCTGCCACCGAATTGCAGAAACCGAAAAGAACAAAGCAACGCAAAAGGCAACACGAATGGAAATGGGAAGGTGCTGCTGCTATACAACAACGCTCCAGATGCACTCACACTCCGATTCACATTCACATTCGCATTCGCATTCACCGAGGAGAAACTGACCAAAAGGCGAACAAACGTCGAACGAGAGAAGCAGAAAAGAACTACAGAATAGAAGACGAACCGATGTGATACTTGAAACTATAAAGAGCTAAAGCTAAAGCATTGCAGCAAACGATATATTAAGCAACGTATTGAAATTGACAAAGACTTGAGTGCTAAAAAGACTTGCCAATAAAAAAAACATAGAAGAAAGCCGCTCGGAAAAAATGGAGCACCTCGATCTGGCGGGTTATCTGAGTAATGCACCCACAACATGGAACAGTTTGGGCAACAGTTTCGAGCAGCAAGGTAAGGGAGGAAGGAGCCGAGGAATGTCTGGCTTTGGGTCAGACTTTGGCCGTCTGTCTCTGTCTCTGCCTCTGCTGAATGCCCTGCCATTATGTGTCTTTATTAATAAATTGCATAATTAAGCGGGCATGAATAATGCCGCGCAGCAGAGCAGATAAGATCGAGAGCAGCAGCTAAATGGAATTGGATGACAGACAGAAGATGCAGTGGCAGTGGCAGTGGCAGAAGGCAAAGACAAAGGGGATGGGGCTCAGGGATAGGGCACAGGGATAGGAACTGAGCGCAGAGTCTTTGCCTCTTTTTATGCTCTGACAGAGTGTCGCTTGGTTGCTTGGATTTAGTTTTGTTGTAGTCACAGCTGGAGATGGTTCTTCCACCCATAAAGATGCGCAAATGGCAGGCACTGATGCTAAGTGGGGACTGCGAGAAGACAGCCAGAAGAGTCGGACAGACAATTAACCTATCCCTTTTTGCTGTATCTTACAGATGCCATTTACTTGTCGAATTCCCGACAAATGCTGGAGCCCATCATAGAGGAGACCAGCGAGGATGAGGAGCATGCACAAAACAGTTGGAATGGCTACCACGAGCAGCAGCAGCAGCAGCATCGAGGCTCCACTGGCAATTGCGGTGGTGGTGGTGGCGGCTTCTGGAGCTCCACAGAGTCCGAAACGGGTTCCGTAATACGCATCGAAGTGACAAAAGGTAAGCGAAATATTAAGAAAAATCATTTGGAGCCCGGAATCGATCAACTAATCAATTCAAACTCTTTCCAGATATCGATGCCATTTCGGAAAGAGACTTTGCCTGCCCACCCAAGCGGCCCAGACGCTGCCAGGAGCCCGAACAGCCGCACAGTCTGGAGGATGGTGTGCAAATGCGACTGCATCGCCGCTACGATGCCGAATCGCACAACAGTCTGGAGCGATTCCTGGCCCTGGAGGCCTGTGCCCGGGATAGCTATGGCAGTCAGGGCCAGCGGAGCAGCACAGGCAGTCGTCGTGGCGGCATCTTTGATGATTATTACTCCGACAATGATTCGTTTCATTCGCTGTCGCGCAGCTCCTCGCTGGTGCAATTTGAGTCGCTGGAGCGGCAGCTGACGTTGTCGGAGCAACACCAGAGCATGAACAGCCTGGGCAACAGTTCGCCATCGCTGTTCAATTGCGAAATGGGTGGAGCCAGTGCCAGCGACAGTAATCCCGAGAGCAGGCGGGGATCGGCCAGCTCGCTGTCGCTGATGAAACGCTACGAGTCCAGCGACGGGCGACTGCATCAGACGTACTTTGAGCTCAACAAACTGAACTTTGAGGAGCAGCAGCGCGAACTGTTTGCAAAGAACCTGCTCCAGGCGGAAATCAAATCGGATTCCGAGTCGAGCACCAGCTCCTCCAGCGACAGCAGCGGCCACAGTCTCCTCAGCTCCTGCCAGGGCAGCGGTGGGGTGGCCAGTGGCAAGCAGGATGGTGCCGCCTCGCGACGTATACCACTCAATTCGGCGGAGAATCTATCGGAGGATTCCGGCTACTGTGAGCCGAGCACATTGCGACGCGAGAAATCTAAATCCATACCAAAGAATTTCGACAAGCTGTGCGAGGAGGAGGAGGAGCTGCTGCTGGAGGAGTCTGCAACCGTCGTGCCACATTCCAAAAACTCCAATGGCGGACATGATTTGTGTCAGACGAAAATAGAGCAGACAACGACGGAGGCTACTACGCCGGCAGCAGCAGCATCAGCAGCAGCATCGCCAATGGCTATGTCTATGCCTATGCCCATGCCCATGCCTCTCTCTCCGTCCGAGTCTATTAATAGCAGCACGGAGAGAGCATCGTCAGCGTCGCCATCGCCACTACCATCGCCACTGGCATCGCCCAGCGGATCATCGGCAGCCTCATCGTCGTCCGCCGCCTCGTTCACTTGGCTGCGCAACAGTTTGCCCGACATACGCGAGCCGCGAGGTTCATCGTCATCGCCAACGTCCGCCAATAGCCGCCAGCGCCACATCAGTGCCGCCAACGATCCCTCGTCGCCGTCGTCCAAGTATTTCCCAGCGGAAAACGATCTACACGGCTACGTGCTGGCCAGCAGCGGAAATCCACGTTGCAGTCGGAGTAGCCGCAGCAGCAGCAGCAGCTCCATCTCCTCCCCAGACTGCTCCCCAGTGCTTGGGGCCACCTCCCTGCCCAACGAGCTGCAGCAATTGGGGCGCCGCAGAACGCGTACGCGCCACAATCGTCCAGCGCCACGGAACTGCCACAGCAACAGCAGCGGTGGCAATAGCTCCAGCGAGGATTACGACTTGGAGCAGGAAGAGCGTCGCGACGACTTCTTTCTGGACTTTTGTCAGCTGCCAAGGATACGCAGGAGCTGCAGCTGGAACGTGGGCAAGCGAGGACTGGGCGGAGGAGGAGGAGGTGCCTCATCTTCTACTGCTGCGGCAGCATCCACCGGCGCGGGTTACATGAACGCCAGCTACCAGAACCTAACGCTTTTGGATTACACGGATACACAGCCAGAGGCGGCAGATCTGCAGCGGAACTCCAAGAGAAGTCAGCCCACAGCAGAGCCCTTGGAGCGGCAACCCCTGGAAATGTCCGATAGGAGCAGTCAACCCCTGGAAATGTCCAATCGGAGCAGCCTTTCCGGCGGCGATTACGAGCAGATCATCTGCAAGGGCAACTTCCTGTTGGACGAACTGAGCAAAATCTACGACAAGAATGTGTCCATTCTGAATGACAAACCAGCAGAAGCAGAAGCAGACACAGACACAGCGGAGGATCAGGTGGATTCCTCTCACAAGGCAGAGGAGGCAGAGGAGCCCCCACAGGTGCAGCATGTCCAACTGACGATAAGGAAGCCGCCGCCACGCCAGAAGAGAGTCGTTGCCGAGGCCAATCCCACGCCCACGCCCACACAGAGAGCCAACCTGCCGCCCGCTGCTGTGTTGAGTTTCTCGAGTTTCGGCAAGACCTTCGATCAGGATCCCACGAATCTGCGCACCTCCTATGCCCAGTCGCTGGAGCAGTGCAATTTCGATGCCCACGAAGTGAGTCCCACGAAGGTGCCGCCACCGCGGGCGCTGCCCAAGAGACGCTTCCAATCGCAGGCGGCGGCGGCCAAGCAAAAGAGTCTCGTCAGCAGCACACCCAATCTCTCGGCCTACGACAACAGCAACGGGGAGACGGAGGATGACATCTATGTGAGCAGTGCCCACACATCGATGCACCAGCTGCCACAGTCGGCGAATCAACCCAAACCCTTGGGCATACTCCTGCCTGCGGGCTCCCGCAACTCTTTCAGCAAGGAGGTGAGCTTCTGTCCGGTGGTCAGCAAGTACTGCTGGCAGGAGCAGTCCTCGGAAGAGCCACAGGAGGATCCTGGACTCGGCAGCGACACTCCTGCGCACTCGGACGACGATGATGAGCTAATGGACAATGTGGACGCCACTGTAATGCACAACACCAAAGAGAATGAGAACATAGCGGCGCGCTACAATCAGGAGCAGCACAAAAGAGAAGCGCAGCCGCAAGAGAGTGTGCTGGTCGAGGTGAGCATCGAGCTGGAAGAGCAAGCAACAGCAGAAGAGCGAGCAACAAGCGAAGAGCGGGCAACAGGCGAAGAGAGTTTAGCAGCGATCGCAACCGCAGAGAGCGATGGCGAAGAGAGCGATGACAACAACGAAAACATCGCAAACATCGCAGCCGCAGCCGCTGCTGCCTCTGCTGCTGCTGCTGCTGCTGGCGTAGCCGAACTCGATTCGGAGCCCCGACACGAGCCCGTTTCAAGCACTGCATTCATTCTCGAACCACAACGCGTCGCGCAACCATCACAATCGACATCGACAGCGCCATCGCCATCGCACTCTTTGCCATTCTCCGCCAGTCGTGATACCGCGCCCCCTCAGCGTCCCCTAAGCCTACATCTACCGATCCTCAGTGAACCGCCCACCAACCGCGCCCACCACATACTCTACGCCTCCCAACAGCTGCTGCAGCGCTACGACGTGGAGGAGCCGCACGAGCGCGAGGATCGCCGCCAAATGGCACCCGCCGCCAGTGGTACTGTGGAGTCCCAGTCCCCCACACAACAACAAAAGGGTGGAAAGTCGCCGGGCAAAACAGACGACAAGCATCCGAGCTCCAAGAGTTTCCTCTCCAGATTCGCCAATGGCCTGCGCTTCTCCCTGAGACGCAAAAAGAAGCAACAACAACAGCAGCAGCAGCTCGAACAGAAGCCACCGCTGACAAAGGCAGCGCCGGTGAAGGCCTCGAAACAACAGAGCAATGGAAAGTCGGCGGACTTTATACACATACCCCTGAAGCCGCCAAGGAGTGCATCAGCCAATGTCCAGACGACGCTGGACGACAGCAATGCCTCGGAGGCCAGCACCGCGAGTGTGCACAGTGGTTCGACATTGGCCAAGACATCCACATTGCAGAAGGTGGTCACCGGCAAGCCGCCGTTGCCCAAACAGCCGCCCAGATTGACGCATGCGCCTCCGCCAATGGTGCCAGCAATGGTGGCCAGTGCTACCCATGCCTCGGAGGCTTTGTTGAGCGCCGAACGGGAACAGTATCGCGAATTTGCGGACCAGTTGTCGGCGGGCATGCAAGCGGCGAGGATGCGGGACACCGAGTCGCCCTCGCGGGCCACCGTTGCCCAAAAGACGCAAATGTTCAATCAGCTGGGAGCCGGTGCCGGTGCCGGTGCAGGAATGCGCCCCACAATGGTCACTGCCGTGCCCGTGCACGTATCCCCCGTAATGGATGAGGATGCTGATGGATCCGGTAAAATGGGTCTGATTGAGACGAATCTGGACACACACGAGACGGTCATCTCGGGCAAAACACGCTCCCTGATGGACATCACCTGCAATCCGTTGAGCCAGCCCCACAAGCGGTATCTGGTGAAGCGCCTGAATGTGACCAGTGCCGCCTACGATGTGGATGTGGACGATGACCTGCTCGATGGGGATGTGGTGGTCAATGGACACCGCATCAAATCCTCGCCAGCTGCCGGCGGTGTACAGATAGCATCCGTTAGGAGACCGCACAAGAGCATGGAGTTTCTGTTGGATAAAGAGAATCAAAGGAATGTTTTGGTGAGTACCACAGCCACTCCCACTGCCCTATCACCCTTCTTTGTTTTTTTGTGGGGGGATGGGCGGCAAACTATTTCGTTTTCGCATTCGTAGTTTTTATGCCTTTTGTCTGGCATTCCAGCTAGCCAGCAGCAGTAGCAGTAGCAGCAGCAGCATTATCATCCCTTAGTGGTTGGGTTGGTGTAGCACGTATTTGGGGCATGCCGCTCCCAACTTTTGGGTGGGAAATCTTTTGTTTGTAAAGAGGTTTATCAGCTAGAAGCAGAGTTTTGTTCTTAAAAATTCTATATAGATTAGGTTTCAGTCAAGTTTTAGTCACTGAAATGACTTATTTTAAATATCTAAAAATAACTATTGAGTTTTTTTTTGAATAGTTCCTTATAAGGAATTCTTATAGGGAAAACATTCAATTTGTATTATCTATTGTACCAGTGGCTGATGTGACATTATTCCCATCGAATAATGCTTTAATTTAATCAAATTTTGATTAGATAATTTCCTATAAAAGGCAAACAAGTTCTAATTCATTTCTTGTTTTATTTGTTTTCTTGTTCTTTGAATCGATTAATGCCTCAAGTCGGTAAAAGTTAAGAGCTTTGATTAGATAAATATTTGTTTTGGTATTCATTCGCATGGGAATATGTTGTTTTTATATCGATTTTCGATTTGTTTATGTTTCAAAACAATTCTATTGTGCGCACATCTCACTTTTGTGAACATATTATTTATGTTTTGGCCTATAAGATTTTTAAAATCATTCTAGAAGAACTACTGGTGCACGTTAGTGCAGTCTTTGATACAAAGTTTATCCTTAATCCCCAACTATTTCCTTTCTCAAATTGGAATCTGACTTTCCATTCCCTTAAGAGCACTTCCAATTCGTTGATTCTTCCTTTCGTTTGTCTTTGCCCCCGATTACAGCTGTCATTGTGTGTGTTTTCCTTTCTGTTTTTCTTTGTCTCTTTTTCTCTGAGGCACGAAAAAATTATGCAAACGATGGAATCTTTCTCGTGAAGCGCTGCTTCTGCTCCCAAAGTTTGTTCCCGTTTCCGCTCGAACGGCGACAATGGCCGACTTTGATCTTGTCTTATGGGGGGGACATTATGGATGTTAATTGATTTTTGGGGAGAGAGGTGCAACACCCGCGTCGAAAATGCTCAATGAACTGTGACAACTTTAATACTCGTACATTTCCTCACGCTTTTCTTGATTTTCCGTCTTGGCTCCTTTAGTTTTTATGACCCCAAATGGATGGAAGGATGCCCTGTGCTCTATCATCATCAAATTTTCTATATCCATTATCCTTTCAACCCTGCGGGTGGTGGCTCTGTCTGAGCGGCTTAGCGCTGACTGAGGTTTAAAGCGGCCAAGTCGTTACGCTCGTGATGTTATTCTTTATTTTTGATTTATTAGGCGACACATTCCATTCCACACAGTTTGCCTGCCTGCCTGCCTGCCTTCATCCCCCCCTCCATCCGTAATCCTTGAGCGCATAAATCAATGGGTGATGTTGTTTTTCTCGCCTCTCAGCCTCAGACTCAGTTTCACATTTTCCTCAGTTTTCTTGGGTGCTTGGTGCGTTTTTTTTATGGCTCCTACAAATTACTTGCGCGATGATGCTGCCACAGAGACAATGACCACTTGACCTTAGTTTCCGTAATATATGTGTGTGTGTGTGTGGGTGTGAATATGCCCCCGAGTCTCGTCCGTGCCCCACCACGCCCTTATGCCTTCTGGTTGGCCTTTGTTTTCTGGGGCTCTCACATTTTTGTCCGCCTGTTTTTCTCTCTCATTACGTTAATTGAGTCGATGGCGAACGATGGGCGTTGGGGCATTGGGGCGATGGCTTTTGTTTAATAACGAGCGAAAAAGCCCTACAGTTTTCGGTCAAACCTCGGGTTTCTTTTACTTTTGCGGATAGTTGTCCGGTTGGGCGCTGGTCTGGTGGTTGGGTGATGGGTGGTAGACCCAATTAACTCGATGTTTACTTGGCACTTTTTTCCTCTGCTCTGACCCATTAACATCATGGCTTAAAGAGCGGTTTTGGCTAACAGCGACTTGGTGGTTTTTTTTGTGTGGCAGGGGATTCTGCGGATATTGTGTTACATTTGTGTTTAATTATAGTTTCAATTTAAAGTTTTGCTTAGCCCTGGGAATGATTAAAAGTTTAAAATGATGGATCCGCAAATTTATCACAGGCCTGGGCCCCCCATTTTATCCTTTCTCTGTTTTGTTTTTGATGATTTTCGATTATTCAAAATTTTCTTCCATCAGTCAACATTTTTCCTGAAAAGAAAAAAGAATTTCTGATTTGTGGTGCAATGTATTAATGTATAGGAGAAATTCTCTAATTTAATTATAAATATTTTTTGTATACCTTGGAAATTTTTCAAATTTAATTATATATTTTTGTTGACTGACTGTACATAAAATGGAAAAATATTTGTTGTGCTTTTTATGGTGGCCCATGTCTGTCTGCCAGCATTTTTTATGTAAGATACACATCTATGTTGAGCTTTTCGTTTAGGTTTTCCACTCACGTAGTTATTTTAGTTATTTTTTGTAGAAATCGCCTGTGCCTGTTCGTGATTAATAAATATAATTAATAATGTCATATAATAAACACAAACTTTCTTGGGCCTTCACTTTTTAAAGCTTTGTTTTGTAATGGGAAATTTTAAAATTTTGAGTAAGAGAAGTTTTCTAAAAAGTAAAAGCTGGTTGCAAATACAAAACGAAAAGGGTTTGCACCACGTTGACTGCAATTTCATGTGAATTATGACAGCCACTGGAACCCTTGTATTTTTCAGACCTTTAAAGGTTACGAAGGGAATTCAAGAATCGACTAGCGGGAACTTCTTTTTATGTACCTCTCCCACTCTTTTATTTTTCTGTCTGCCCTGCCTTGTAAAACAGAAACAGAAAAACTATTAAGCTGCGCCTTCTTTTTGTTTCCTCTGTGCTGCTGCTTCTCTTCTTAGTTTTCGTACGAATTCGAGTTGGTCTTGGACTTGGACTACTCCTACGTCTCGCTGTCTCTCCCACTTAATGCCAAAACTTTCGCCTTGATTTCCGCTCAAATCCGAAAACTATTTCAATCCCATGAAAATGGAGCTGCGAGCTTCGAGCTCTGTCTGCTGTCTGCTCTTGCGGAAATTTGTCGCTGCTGCGCCCGACAGTTGTCATGTGAATAATAACACTAAGAAAATAATTACGGGAGGCGAGTGCAAGAAAAAGAAAGCAGAGCTAAAGAAAGAAATGATGATGATGGTGTGGCGGTGGCGGTGATGGGTGGGCCCCCCAGCATACAACAAATAAACTCTAATTAAATTTTTCATTATTTTCACATGTAATGTAAACAAATCCCATGTCTGCTCTTCCGATAAGAAGGAGAGTCCCGGAGAACAGCAGATTGTGTGTGTCTCCCTGTTGGTAATCCTACTCTGTCTGTCTGTCTGAGGGCGGTGGAGGGGGAGGGTAAAGTGTGCCACTTGCTGTGGACAAAAGCTTGGAGCTGTTACGTGTACTACTGGTGGGAGGGGGTATATTATTTTTAAATTGAAATTTGCTAAATGTAAAAAGAAACATACAAGGAGATATGATGTTGATTTTGATATTCACCTAAAGTTTCAATTAAATATTTCTCTCATTCGTATTCTCTTTTCCACGTAGAGGGTACACCGTAACTTCTAAAAGTAATAAATGAAACTCTCCCAAAATACCCCATAGAAGGGGTATCCCATAGTCCATACTCGCAACGCGGAATCATTCTTGCACGACGTTCCTTTTGGTCACTGCTCCTACCACTGCAAACTATATTCGGCCCCTAACTAAAAATAAAAGAAAGCATAAAAGCAACAACAACAAAAGCTTAAACCAACAAACTACGTCTCTATTTATTTGCTTATCTTTTCTTGTACAATTTTCATGTTTCGCTGATAAGAAACACCGAACACCGCTGACAGCAGCAGGCGACATTACTAATACTAATGCTAAGGTTCAAACTAGCGGTGCTTCTTCCTCTCTCTGTCTCTGTCTGTGTCACTGTTTTGTCTGCTTCTACACCGCCCTTTACCCACACTCTCCAAATTAGTTTCTAATGTGCCTTAAGCAAACGGTTCTTTCTTTCAATTGTTTTTGTGCGTTTGGATTTGTTTTTCTCTGTGCTGCTCAAATATTTGTTGTTGGAATTCTTGATTCTCATTCAGTTTATGGCCCGGCGACGCTGTAAAAGCTGAAGGTGGAGGTGAAGGCGAAAGAATATGGAATGAGTGGGGGCCGCTTGGTGGGTGGTGTGCCAAAATGCAATTAAAGAGAAGAGAAGCTTGAAGAAGAGAGCAATCTGCAGAGTTTACTTAACAGAACTAATTGCTTGATCTACTGCAGTGGAGGGAATGCAGCTGCTCCTCTATTACTACATCTCAAAGTGCGTCAATAGAAGGTGCGGCGCATTCCCAACGAGCACCTCACATGCAAGATCTGCTGTAACGCAAGCTTACCTGTATTTGCTTGCATAAATAAACCTTGCTCAGAAGCATTCTCTGATTGTTATGCTGTGCTGTTATTTCAGCTGTCTGTTCTTTGCTCTCTGGCTGTAAATGTAAATGGCAAGAGAATGCTCTTCTGTTTTTTGCTACTAATGTAAAGGCATCTGTGAGCATAGACCCTTAACAGAGTTCTTGAGCGATTTGCTGCAACATAATCTTCCAACAGAGCTGTTAACATTGCTCTGGTTGTTTTATATCAGCTGCGAGGTGGTCTCTCTTCTGCTGCTTATGCTGCTATTACAACTCTCTTGCGATCTGGCGCTCTCTTTTACACTCTTTACACTCTCGAACAGTTTCGATGTTTTCGTTGTTTTACCTGTTTTACTATGGCTTATCTCTATAGATGGACGGTTTTTGAGGAACTGCCTAAACAATTTCTTTGCCATATTTGTAGCAATTTGTTTTGCTTGAACGATTGCACCTTCCCCCCCACCTCCGCTGCTTTATCCCCTT